TAAATGTGATTTCAATTGGTTTGCAAACAATAACTCATCCAAAAGTCTCTGGTTTTCAGTCATTAATTCATCCAAAATGTCATTAATACTAATAACACACCAGTCATTGGTCTTTATTGTAGCCATAGTTCACTTAAAAGCCAAATATATTTAAATCAAATCAAAACTAAACCATAATTGGCATCAAAACTGATAACAATTTGTTGAAAACAAACACAACCTCTCGGACAGAGCTCAGGGACTGTGCTATCAATGCATTCAAATAACATTAAATTTTATTGAAAAACTTTATCAAAAATTATTACAAATTAAATGAATTGACACGGAATGACCGTGATCATTGAACACATAATCATTTGACAATATCCTCTTTATGGACTTGTTTTCTATGTTTGACAACATTAGCCCTTAATGTTCTGAATATGACTGTCGGGCCGGTTACTGTGCGTATCCCGAATTGTAACAATACTTATAAGACCACTTGGAATTCCAACCCAAGTGTGGCCTTGGCAAACGGTGTGAGCCCGGTGAGCGACACAAACGGCTTCTCTCCCGTATGGATACGCCTGTGTTTGTTGAGCTCCCTTCCCACCCATTCGCAAGCGGGCCAATCGCACCGGTATTTATAATCGCGCTTTACTTGCCACACTCGGGCCACTCGCACACAAACGGCTTCTCTCCCGTATGGATACGCCTGTGTTTGTTGAGCTCCCTTCCCACCCATTCGCAAGCGGGCCAATCGCACCGGTATTTATAATCGCGCTTTACGCGCGGCTCACGATTATGGGCCGATACCTGATGTTTACGGAGTTGGTGTTGAGTCATAAACATATGCCCGCAGTGGTCGTACCGGCACCTATACGTCGCTTCATTATGATGGTGAGCGCGCTTATGTGTGTCCAAACCCTTCTCGGACTGGTATGTCTTTTGACAGTCCACTACATCACAAGTGACTGTGTGTTTAGGCAGTGAATGTCTTTTCATATGAAGTGCTAAATATTTGTAATTCTTGTTTTCATAATCACAGCCCTTGTGGTGACACTTGTATGGCTTAATGTCTTTGTGAACATACGAGTGGTTATTGAGAGCATCACTACTTTTAAACTCTTTATTGCAATCGATATATTGGCAGACATATCGGAGCCCGGAGTGAATGCCAGACACGTGTTTGTATAAACTTTTTTCATTTTTCAATGATTTAAAGCAATCATTGAGTGGACAGACGTATGACTTTGTGGACAAATCATAGCATTTCTCCCTTTCCTTCATCCCTGGCCGGCACTAATTGGCACAAACCTATTGGTATAGTCCCGTGTCTGTCGTGGACAACGGCGTCCTGTGCTTTCACACAAGGTTTGCCATATTTGTCGATATATTTGGTGTAAAATATATTAATTGGTAGTAAATATTTATGGGGAACAGGAGTTATGATGGGATCCATTCCCTGGACACTATTAGAGGAGGAGTACCAGTCCTATGGCGAGGATCTGTTGCAAGAGTTGCACACATTAATACATTCGCCAGAAATTGTATGTTAAGATTAGTTGTGTTTATAAGACTACTATTTTCTTATTGTTAACAAATTGTATGACTTGTTTGCACTAAACAGCAATCGATTAGTAACCCTGCGTTTGACGCGGGCCGACATTTCGCCCGTACTTTCCCTAAGATATTGGACTCAATACTTGAATATGACTTCAGAAATATGTTTTCATCAAAATCGTCGGCCACTAAGCCATGTTTATCGTTGGTTTTGTTGCGAAGGTTAGCCAAATCATTACAGCTCTGTTTTCGGCTCTGTTACTTATTCTGCAATCTAAAGTACGCGCCTCATTACCTACTCACGTGTGTAAACCGGTTGAACTCAGTGCCCGTCGACCCCGAGCTCTCACTGATAGTGAACGCAAAAAATGATGGGTATGTCCCGCGTCAGGGCGTACAACCCCTTACAGACTTATGGCCCGGTTCTCGGGTTAAGTACGTGGACGGGGGACACGTGTCAGCCATTCTGTTCAACGCTAATGTGTTTAGGTTTGTATTGTTTGTATTTTCATAACCGTATTGTCGACACTGCATATAAAGCGGTGTTTTTAATGATTTATTTACTAAGAGTTATATTCTTGCGATTCATTAGGAAAGCGATCGCAGAGGCCATGGATATGACGGCCCAGAAGTACTTCCGAACCTCTCTTTTGAATAACAACAACAGTAGTAATACTAATAGAAAATCTCAGAGTATTTAATGTGTAGAGCGAGGAATCGACAACTCATAGACACCTTTCCCTTTACAAGGAATTTAGGTTTGTTTGTAATTATGTTACAAAAGACTTAATATTTAGGTTTAAATTATGAAATAGTTTTATTAGTTTTGTTAAAATTGTTATGAAAAGTGTTGTGATCACACATTTATATGCTAGAAATGTGCGCCAACACTGATTTTGTATATTTATTATATAAATTATATCGACTTTTCTGTGAAATATAGCATTTTATGTGTTATTTACCGTACATACAGAATATTCTGTCTAATTTTGAAATGAATTAATTTGACTTAAAATTTAGCGCTTTATTGTGGCATTTCTAATAAAATCTCGATTTATAAAAATTTATTAATGAACTCGTTTTTTATTTGATTTGATTTTAATGATCATGAATTATTTGAACCAAGGTAAGTTTGTGTGTTTACCGTATTGAACACTGAACTGAACCTATGGTCCCTTTAGTAACACATGCACTTAATGTTTACTTTTGGCATTTAAATTTGAGATCACCCACCAATGGTGCTTGGTTATATGTTTAAATTTAGTATTTACTAAGAATTCAAATTAGATTTCTAATTGATTTAATAGGGAAGTATGACTTTAAACAGTGATCACCACATGAATGGTGCTGTCGTTATGATAAACCGACACCTTTTCGATGACATAGTGTCTGAAAACCAGAGATTAGTCAATGAATTAATGTTTGCAAACAAATGGTTGATTGATTTGAAGACACACTTGACTGTTGTTTGCAACAAGTTTTGGCACATTATTAGCCATCAGGACAGACATGTATTCAATGGACTCATACAAGAAGTGAATGCGCGGATCAGTCAACCCAATGGACAACTATTGATACCCAGAATACCTCAACAAATGATACAAACAAATAATACCTTCAATGAAGTGATTCATGAAATACGGGTCACAAGTGATGTCCAAAATGCAGACATAAGTCATATGAATACAGGGAAAGCCGATAATCGTAGTAATTGTGACACAAATGGCCAACAGTTGATGCAAACGATACAAACACAAGAAGTTAAGGATACCATCAATACTCCATCTGCTGAAAACTCGGAGGCAAATGGTGTGGAGAACCGGATCAGTTTGGACTCAACAACGTGTCTACCAGATAGTAAAGCCCCGGAATCAGTGGTCACTACAGATTCAGTGGACATCACATGCGATTTGTTAATAGCAAGTCGTGAGGAAAGGGAGAAATGCTATGATTTGTCCACAAAGTCATACGTCTGTCCACTCAATGATTGCTTTAAATCATTGAAAAATGAAAAAAGTTTATACAAACACGTGTCTGGCATTCACTCCGGGCTCCGGTATGTCTGCCAATACATCGATTGCAATAAAGAGTTTAAAAGTAGTGATGCTCTCAATAACCACTCGTATGTTCACAAAGACATTAAGCCATACAAGTGTTACCACAAGGGCTGTGATTATGAAAACAAGAATTACAAATATTTAACACTTCATGTGAAAAGACATTCACTGCCTAAACACACTGTCACTTGTGATGTAGTGGACTGTCAAAAGACATACCAGTCCGAGAAGGGTTTGGACACACATAAGCGCGCTCACCATCATAATGAACCGACGTATAGGTGCCGGTACGACCACTGCGGGCATATGTTTATGACTCAACACCAACTCCGTAAACATCAGGTATCGGCCCATAATCGTGAGCCGCAAGTAAAGCGCGATTATAAATACCGGTGCGATTGGCCCGCTTGCGAATGGGTGGGAAGGGAGCTCAACAAACACAGGCGTATCCATACGGGAGAGAAGCCGTTTGTGTGCGAGTGGCCCGAGTGTGGCA